AAAATATTACAGACGGCTTCACCAACAAAAGGGATCTCCATATAGGTTGAACATATTAGGTAATAAAAAAAGTTTGAAACCATTTTTACATTATGGTTTTAGTGCTTTTACTTAAACAAAGGACCTACCACTACAGGTGACAACATCTATTTTTAGTCAGTTTTAAGGAGGCAGTAACACTTAGGTTAGAGGAGTTTTTGCTATTTGCTGCTCACAGGATACACAGCGTTCTCAGCTATCCTCCCCTGCAGCCATCAGTCTGGCAGTAGCAGCTCACGGTACGATCACTCTGTCTCAGCGTGGGAAATTGAGTGTGTGAAAGCACCGTGGACAACATTTCAGGCTAGAGCGATCACCGAGAGCAGGGAGAAGTAGGAAAGAGGAAGAGATGTAATTAGAAAAAAAAAAAAAGGAGAAAAAAAAAAAAGCCGCCGCCCCCTCACCCAGCCCATCTCATCTCCAGCCTCACTGTAGCATGGAGGAAAGCTGCAGCACACAGGGGTTGAGAACTTTGATTAACAGGTCTCATTTCCTGATCGCAGAGGTAAGTCTCGTCGGGCAGAGGAAAGTGAAAATAGGGAGCATTAATCAAGAGGCGTTCAGGCTGAGGGAACATGTGATTGATTAGACAGCTGTTTAAGAGGAAATAGGAATTCTGAGGAGTGTCCTATCCATACATCCGTCTCTCCTAATGAAAGTGTTTGAACATCAGCCGTAAACAGAAAGCAAAGGGATCAACGTGCACAGCCACAACTGTCCTAAGTGATTAGATGTGTGTTTGAGTTTGATAATTTCACTCATGTAAACTGCGTGACTGAACTAATAAAATTGTATTTACCCAGGAGAGACCCCCAAGTTGCACCATCTTGTTTACAGGAGCGTCCTAATGTGACAGGAATCAAACAAGTCAGCACACCGTCATAACACACACACACACTTCTCCCTGCTGTTTTCTAGTTCCTGCTGTTGCAGCGAGCTTTGATGGTGCTGTTTCTCTCAGTCAGAGTAAGGTGAGAAGGATTTTTCTTTTTTTTGTGCATCAGCAGGGAAACACGACAGTTGCAAAGAATTACAATATAAAATGCAAATTGAACGGTGATTCTCATGCAAATGTCCCCGTAATTACTCGAACTGAAATCAACATCGGCGGGTAGCGGAAGCGGTCAGAAGGTGCGTCTAACTGTAGCTGTTTGTGGCACGGGGTTAAAGTCTCACCGTCTTGCTCGAGGATATGGAGCTGAGGGGGCTGTTGGCGTCTGTGACCACCATGGCTGAGGAGAAACGTGACGGGTGGGAATATTGCGGGGGTTCTTGTTTGTGCGGATACACTGAAAAAGGGAGACAAAATAGATTATTACACTTCCATAACAGGGACAAGTAAATATTTATTAAGGTTAAGAGCTGATCTACAGCTGCAGAGAGGAAGCTGCATACCTGGTGTGTAATATTATATTCAACAACATTTACAAACTATCTTCTTCCACTTTTATTTGTGCTTTAGTTATTAAGAGTCAGGGTGGGAACTCTTTGCTTTAAACCACAAAAACTGACTTTGAGAGAGAAATCAGACCAGATGGAAGCATGGTGGCTGATTGTGGTGTTGTTTTAGGCTGGATTACTCTGAGCTCCTCCCCATTAAAGCTTCAAATCACATCAAAGTTTTTTTTTATGTCTAAATAAACACATTAAAACTGTCTGGTTACAAGTTGTGCTTTGTTTTAACACAAGGCCTAAAAGCTAATCTTAGAAACCTCCAAAAACTTGTTAAAAATGCATACTAGTGCCTACTGGACTGACAAAAACAATCAAAATGTGTTACTGACTGTGTGAGTGTGTGACGGAGGCCATGAACGGCTGCTGGCTCATGTGGCTCGGACTCTGCTGCATCAGGCTCTGCTGATGAGGGCTGTGGAGCTGCTGGGAAAACGGCACCGGCTGGAGCGCTGCAAGACTTCCCGCCACGCTGTTGATCACTGGCACCGTTTGAGACTGCGATGTGTTTAAACCTGGTGACACCCAAGTAAGATGTCAGTCACCACGTGCCTTTAGAACAAGCGAAAATTTGTATTGATGTATGCTAGACATACTTTGTGCTATGGCCATGACTCCAGACAGAGGCATGATGAGGTTCTGTGTCTGCTGATGGCTGTGATGGGAACTGTGGATGTTTGTGAGTGTGCTGACCGGAGGAAGTCCTCCACCTGAACCTGAAATCTGTAAAGAGATCATGGAAATAAAATTACAGTACAGTTTTATAGCAGTACTATTTGTTTTTAGCTGAGCACTACACTCAGAGTTATCAGAGTACTGGCTATGTAAATTCACATAAATTCATGTTCAAAGTGAAAGAGATGTTGGCAGTTAGACAAACAACAGACATAAATGTTGACTCAGTTCGGATTCTTTTGTACGACACCACAGTTGCGTAATTCCCGTCACACACAAGAACATATTGATAAAGAAAAAAATTCCAAGGAAAATAAAATCATAATAAAATGTCGCCGAGAAGGCTGTGTGAGTTGGCGTTGCGCATTCTCCGCGCATGTGGCTTCAAACAAATGCTTCACCCAACATTTACAGTAATCTTTATCTGGATCCTCCCCCTCAGTGGGGCTGCGTTTATTTGACTACAGCCTCCTGCCCACAGAGGAGAACTTGGCCCGACTCACATCTGCGTAAAACAACTGACAGCTCTGACCTGCCGCACACTACAATGCCTGCCCTCATTTCACATAATGCAGGGCAGAGGTAAACTGTGCTGTATGACTAATTTTTCCCCAGTTTCCAAACAAAATAAACAGTTCAAACGGACGGATACTGTAATCCCTGATGATTTGAATAATGCTGTATTTTGACATTAGCACATTGCACATTTTTTAAAAGTACTTGTACAGACGCTATGATAGTATGCACAGGTTTCCTGATCACTGATCAAATATTGAACTAGGGAAAAGGGGAGAAGTAGATGCAGAAAAAAAAGTATCGGGCATGATCAAATGTTGGCGTCATTTCTCTGGCAGAACAAGCAACACTCCACCTTTGGCTCCTCTTTGTGAGGCATTTAATCAATAGGAACAGAATGTTTCTTTGTCAGGTTTATTGGCTGAGAGATGAACATGCCTGGTGCACTTTGGTGATGGCTGCCTGCTAGTACAGCCACCGTGGCTCCACCTTCCAAACACAGCAGCACAATGTGCTAATTGTTGGCTCTTGCCAGCACGTCCATGGGAGAGGAGGTTCAGGAACCTACTTTGTACGTTTATGCTAAACGCAGGCAGGTTCTTATCTAATCTGAGGCCACCAGGGCCCAGGTGTGTTCACTCACCATCTTGGCGTCGGGTGACAGCAGACTGTGGCTGTGGTCCAGTCCTCCCGGAGACACCTGCTGGAGCACTGACTGGCTGGTCGCCATTGCGTTGCTACTGTGGTGACTGATGGCCGAGGAGGAGGTGACCTCACTGGGAACTTGCCCGTATCTCACTGAGAGAGAGAGAGAACCAGAGAGAGAGCAGGTTAACTTAACTTGTCTTGCCTCACGGTCGCTGTGTGCTGCAACTATTGCAGGTATATAGGGCAGTGAAGAGCATTGGCTCGTCAGTGCTGAGCAGTGACACTGTCACTCCAACCCACCGCACTCACCTGCTCTTTGACTCGGATAGGGGAGGACTGAGCAAACAAAGACAGTGACCCGTCCACTGCTGCTATCTGAGCAGCTTAGCCAAGGCCATTCACTGTGTACATGCACTCACATAAGCAGGACTCCCATCAGACTCTGTGACCAGCATACAAACATTACCAATGATGTTTGTATTACGTCAGGGTTACGAAAAGATATTCAGTTTGAACAAAGGTTGTCCCTAGTGCTTTTTTATTTTTCACTTTATAGAGCAATATATTTGGTCCAAGGTATTTTAATAACTGTCATTAAGAGTAATGGTAGCTGTACTTAATGAATTGTCTAAAAAGTATATCATTTAGACTCTAATGTTAACTTTACTTTCACATTTCCTCCACTACTTTAGGCTACTGTTTCACTTAATAGTTGTACATTATGCTTAGGAACATATTAAATGGGGTTTTCAATGTTTTAGCTAATATATTAAATATCATCAGCTTTTATTCCAGTGTATTTAGCTTCCAACTGTTAGCCATACTGTTAACTAATCCCATTTTTATTCATATTTGTAGCTAGCAATATATTAGCAATGTATTTCTAACTAACATTTTTATGTGTTTATCTATACTATTGTCCAATAATTTCAATTGTTATCTGTACTTTTTCGTACTTTGTACAAAAATACCTGGGGTTTTTTTTTGGGTTTTTTTTTACATTTTTACCCAGATATTTAAAAAATTTTCATTGTGTATTTCCAGCTAAGAATCTTATTTGTTTCAGTCTCTGAAGAGGATGTGCCTTCTCAGTAAATGATGCTAAATCAAAATCATATAACTCCATAATAAGTAACACTAGCACAAAACTGTAATGATGGTTGCAGAGCCAAAACATTAGCATTTTTAATGGCATAGCAAAAATAAATTGCTGAAATAAAGATTTGTCAGCTATTTATCTAAAGTTTTGTACTATTAGTGCTATTTAGGTGCCTTTAGGTACTCAAAACTGGAGTTTTATCTATATTATTATCCAACTATTTTATCTACTTTTAGCAATTTTAATAATTTTAACTTTTAGCTGTACTTTAAACAGATATATATTTGTAACGAGATATTTCAATTTGTATTTCAATTTGTTTATCTGTGCTATTAGCTAATAGTTTCAGCTGTTATCTTTACTTTCAACCAAAAGCATCCACATTTTATTTGTGTTTTTGCTAGCTAAACTTGCTGTTACATGATTTCAGCTAATTGTTTATTTGTTTCACTCGCTAAATACGAGCAGCACAGATTCAGCACATTTATGCACGATGCTAAATCTAAATCATATAACTCTAGTGTGATAGGTAGCACTAGCATGAATTGAAGGCCAAATGGCGGAAACATTAGCTTGTCAATACTAAACAGGTGAAATTAAGATTTGTCAGCTATGTCTTTCAGGTTTTGTGTTTGTGCTACCTATTTAACTTGGCTACTCAATACTGGGGCTTTATTTATCAATACTATTACCTAATTATTTTTATTTGTTTACCTTCAGCATAATTTCAGCTAGCAATTTAAACTGTTATCTGTACTGTTAATCCTTTATAGCCCCCTTTGTATATATTAGCTAAACATTAAAATTTCCTTATCGTCAGTTTTACCCAATATTTCTATGTATTCATCTCTGCTGTCAGTTAACGATTAGTAATCACTAGTTACCATTTTTGTTTATCTATTCTATCAGCTAAAACCTTTTTGTTTATTTACCCAAACTATTATCTAATGAAAAATCTGCACATTCAATCAAGATATCCAATTTTTTATTTATATTTTTAGTTAACTATACAAGCTTTTTATTAAGATGTTTTAGTTAAATATTTATTTGCTTATTTATACCACTAGCTAACATTTTTAATTGCTAGCCATTGTGTTGATTTGCTGTTTGTTTTGTTTTTTCACATTTTCATTTCAATAATTTAGCCATTTCTATTGGGTGTCTGTTTCAGTCTCTGATAATCCGTTACTTAGTTAAGATTAGTCAGATTAGTTAAGCCGGTCTTCTCAAATCCCCCTACTGGAGACCTATCCTTCTGTTTGCAAGTGGCAGCCAATCACAAGAAAGTTGGAGGCTGGCCTAAAGGAGATGAGACTAAAACAGCTTGTATGAGAGGCTCTGGTCCAACGCCCAGCATGCTAACTCAGAATGATAGATAATGACATTTTTCAATTGGTAATCATACTAAGAAACTGCCATAGAGTAAATAAAAATGGAACTGAAAATGAGAGTAAAAGGTGTCTTATAAAACTGGGAGCCTAGTTACAGTCCACATTCCAAACTTTCAAGTTTTTGTTATATTTCAAACAGTTTAAAGAGATTCACAGTGAATCGATGAGAATAAATTTAATGACATCACTTAATCCCCCGTCTAGACTACTTTCTGTCTCTCACTGGAGGCTCATAGGAATGCTCCACCTCCCAACTGACAATCAAATGTATGTTTGCTGATGCAGGCCTCCCTCTGATATCAACAGAGTAAACATTACACAATTACAAGCAATGTCAAACACATTCTTATCCTGTGGTTTCAACCTCGCACTGTCACACAGTGCTTCCCTCCCTCAGTAACAGTGCAGAGACAGACTCTGTTTGCACTAAGATCAACATCATCTTCCCCAAGTCCCACGTCCCTGACCCAGGTGTGACAGCCGGAACACCCTGCAGAAGTCGGAAGTATTGATATGCACACATTTCGAGATAAAAAGAGGGAGAGGCTTTGACACAATAGGTGAGCAATGAGAGGGACATCGATTTCTAGGTGTTGCTGTGCAAATCGTATAGTTTAGTTTGCTTCTAATGAGATTTTGCCAAAACCGCTAATCATGAAATCGCTGTAGTTTACAGCTCCATCTTTATCAATGCATCTACAGCTTTAACGATAACAATCTTGAGACACCATTTCTCTACATTTGCCGAAATCTGTCTTTGTACAGGTTTAGGAAATCCGATAACCTGTTACTGGGTGAGCTTCCAGATCTTCTAGATGCTGATTTTAAAGTTTTTCACTCCTGCTCCAAGTCTTTCTTTTAAAATACGAACTCTTGTTAAGCTTCTCATTTAAGAGATATGCAAGTAATAGCAATCTTTTCATTTAACTATCGCCAGTAAAGCAAACATATTTCATGCAAGCACATCTGATAATGCGGAGCTATTGCTTTGAATATGGATAGTTAAAATGCAGCTACTTCAAAGCTGCTGTCATATTTCATCCTCTAAAGTACCTGTCCTCCATTTTGTACGGCCAACAGACATCATATTGTGTCCTGCAACATACTATCAACCCCACAACACCCCGCCGTGCCTTGTAAACACTGCCACAGAACAATAAAGCACTCCATTGGACTCATGACCCCCATTGCCACACAATAGAGGAGGACTCATAAAAAGTCAGTTATCTCGGAGCTGGGCCACCTCTTAAAGGATGCTATTCAGGAGAGTTTTGTTTCTTTGGCTTCTGCAGTAATTTAAGCTGCAGGGAAGCTCAGACTTCCACAAACTAAAGTTAGAAACTAGGGTTTCTAGTCTTTTTGACAGCCCAGTCAAGAAAAAAAACTGCAACTTGCTTTTTGAGAGCAGGGGGAGGGCGAGAACTTCAGGATGGGAGTGGTAGCATGGACCTTCAGCAGGTTTAAAAGCCTCTAGCTCCCTGTGTGACCCATGTAATATCAAAGCCTGCCTCCCCAACCCCAGGCAGTGCTCATTGTAGTGCCGCTGAATATGACAGACCTCCTGGGTCTCTGCAGGACGTAGCCAGTCTCCTCTTTGTAGCACTCTGGGAGCACTGGAAAGTGCAGAGCTAGGCCATTCCTTCTGTGTGTGTGTCCCTGTTTTAAGCTAGCCTGAGGTTACAGAAAGCAACACAACCCACACATGCTACTGTATCTGATCTGGAACTTCTGAGTTTGCTAGTTTGGTAACGTGCAGAACAACACAGTTCAGCTTACACAGCGCAATTTAGCTTCAGCTGTCAAATTACCATCAATCTAAAACACTCCATCACAAGCAAAAGTTTTCTATTCAGAATCCTGCTTAACAAAAAGACAAGCATTATCTTCACAAACCAGGTTACGTGATTGGTCCGATTTGTTTGTCTGCTTGTTAGCAGAATAACTCAATAAATGACACGAATGTTTTAGCAGCTTGGACTAACATGCACGTGATTCGCTTTTGTCCATGGAAATCTGAATTCATGTAAGATTGCTTTAACATATTCCTATCAAAGTAAAACAGAATAATTTAAAACCACCATTTTTAGAATATATTAAAATCTAATACAATCCAGACATCCTTCTGGATCCAGGAACTCAGTTTGTGGAGGGAATTTTTAGCCTTGGTGGAGCCATGCAGATACTGACTGCTCCTGCTGATAAAAAATGACTTTTTGCATAAAGAGTAAAAGTAACTTTCATGCTGAAAACTCCCAGTTTTGTTGATGAAACTAACAGTAGCTCACTGTTAGGTTAGCCTCACTGTAAAAGGGTATACAGAAGACATCAGGCTTTTTTAGATTCAGCTTTAAAAAAAATAATTGTAAAACGCAGAACTTCAATACAAAAATTAGGATTTTTGAATGATTTTCATTCATTTTTATTTTTTCTTTGGCCAAGAAAATGCTGATTGATAACCATACCATTTTAATGACACCTATAAATTTGTTTGAGGAGCTCCTACTTTAAAGAATAACAGCTAAATAAGATGCTTTTGATAAGCTCAGTAAACATGAGTGGATGAATATTAGGCACTTATTACATGGGACGACACAGACGGCTGCTATAAAATGCTGTAAGCAATCTGCTTGAAAGATCAGTTTCATTTCCTAAAAAGGTCACCACCAAAAATGCACGTCACACTGTTTGACTGTCTATCCAGTTGTGACCAACTGATCAACGAACCAAAGCAAAATCAATAAAAACTCCCTGACTAAGAGGAGTTCCTTTGAAATGACCCAGAAGTGACCTCCCTTGTAAGACTGAAGGTGTGGCGGCAGTTTAAGGAGGGGGGTTACCAGCTTTCTCTATAGGCGAAGAAGGGGTCATCAGTCCTGTCTGGCCAGAAAAGAGCCAATACCACAGTGGACAGCTCCTGCTGCTCCAAGTCTGCGACCAGCCTCAGCAACTATACTAATGTCCATGAAGGTGAGGAGGGGGGGCTTTAAATTCAGTCCTCCTCCAGGCCCAGCCAAGATAAATGAACCTAGGTTACAGTGACTGCAGTCTTCTAATACACCACAGACAATGGGACCTCCTGCTGGAGCAGAGTATAGAGAGTAGAATCAGAGGAGCCCCTTATCAAAGGCCTGGGAGATGTAGCAGCAAAGGATTTTAATTGTCCATTAAGCATGCATAATACAGGCCGTGCCCTAGCAACGCAATGAGGTGCCCCACTGGGATATTATTGTCAGGTCAGGGGATGACACTGAAAAACAGCTGATGCTGTCAGCATGATGCCAGCAGGACACCTTGTAAGCAGCCAGCAGAGAGATTTTGGTGAAACAAAGTGCTCTCCGCCATGCACCAAACCTTCCTTTCTTTGCATCCTGATATCCAGGCCTGCTCAGGTGTTCTCAACAAAAACAAGGAGACAAAAAACCTTAAGCAAATAAACAATCCACAAGTGGGAACAGTTTATGGAAAGGTAAAAGAGCAAGACAAAGCAAACCATTAGTCTCCCCTTCAAAGCTGGACTCGTGTTCGAACACAAGAGGATAACAATGGGATCTGAGTGAGTCTCTGAACACAGAGGTTTATGGAGGGTGAGTGATGGCATGGGGATAATGCTCTGTGAGCCCTAGCTGCTTTGTTTTTATGTAGTATACGCTAGGTAAACTCAGTCAATACTAATTAGTTTGGATGCAAACATAAAGGCAAGGTGAAATGGTCAGAGCAACAGTCCACAGCCTTCTCCTTGTTTTGGCAACTCCGTGAGTCCTTAGAAACCTCGATGGAAGGAGGAAATGTGGAAATGAAGGTGGTACATCGAGGTGATGTCTGTTCCCCCTTCTCTGACCCTGGCCTGACCCTGGCCTGTCACGGGGTTGCTGCCCTTTGTATCATGCCTCTCCATGCTGACTTTGGAGTGGAGATTGCAGGTACAATGTGGATTGTTCTCAGTGTTTTCAAAGATCAGAATAACAATACCACTCGCTCAGCTCACTCACTCACGCTCATTGATCACTTGTCCTGTCTTTCTCTGGCTCTCTGATCACATCAACTGTGAGCCTCTGTGCTTTCCTCACAATAGTTTTACACCAAAGAAAATGAAATCATGCGCCTTTTGCGCCACCGTCATCAAGTCTCCCATAGGCTGATGTTAGCATGTGTAATCTGCCGAACCGCTTGCAAAGCATCACCACTTGACATCTTACTTGGAGGTGAAGCGCTGGCCTGGGGATGATGCGGTGAGCCATGAGAGAGCAGAGGGTTGATGCCGTGGCTCGGAGCAGTGATTGCATCCATGGCCAACTTCTGCCTGAAGGCTTCCTCTTTACGCCGGTTGGCGAACCAGTTGTAGACTCGCACTTCCGTGACCAGATTAGAGCCGAGGCCTTGAGCTTTGGAGGGGGAGACACCTCTCTGAAGACACTCAGCTCTGCGGGGAACAACACCAGGTGAGAATGTGGTGGTAGCACTGCACGGGCAGCATTTTTGTGCTAAAAGTGGCTTCATGTGTGTCTACCTGTTACACTCCTCCACCAAAGCCTCCCGCTCCTCCTTGCTGGGGTTCTTCTGCCGCTCGTAGGCCTGGTACAGGATTTGCTGGGATGCAGGCCCCCATTTGAAGCGGTTGCGCCTCATTTTCTTACAGGAGGGTTCGATGCCCACCTCTTCGCCGGGCTGACCCATGCTCTGACCGGATGGATTGAACTCTGCAAAATAAAAACCCTGATCTGGATTTCCTTTGTCAGCCATACTGCTGCCAGGACCATGAGCTGCCTGGTTGAACTCTGAAAATAAGAAGAGGCTTGTTCAATAACGCTGATATCAAAATGCTTTCTTATACAAAGTTTGGCACTTTGAATGTATAAATTAGATGCATTTTCACTTTTGATGCATAATGAAAAATAGTTGCATGTACATGCCATTCATCAGGGTGAGGAAACATGATATCCCTACAGGTTTCAAACCCAAATAAAGCAGCGTGCTGCTGCCAGCTAAACATTTCAGGCTGTGGCCAAGCTGTGAGAAACTCAAATATTAACTTACGTCGTAGAATTTCCCGCTGTTTCCTGACATACCAGGTGTAAAGGGCCGCTCGCTTCTGTGTTTTCATGGGCGTTCCTTTGTTGAGGTGCTGGGAAAGGTGAGACTGGTTCAGCCCCGTGATGTCCACCACCTCGCGTTGGGGGATGTTGTGCTGCTGCATGTAACCTTTGATCATGCGGGCAGCACGCCATGGATCCTCTCTGCGTTCAGTTAGAACAACAGGGGCAGAAAACATGGTTCATTGCAGCACTCAAGTACGTGCAGCGTTCAGGGGAAAGTTATGAAAAGAAAATCCACCATTTACTCAAACTTTGAGGCTCAAATAAAGAGTTCTGGAAAAGTCATGCTATTAAATCACTAGTTCATGTGAGATTGTATCATTTCAGATGTGGAAATGGTTTTAAAAGTTCATATTTAAAGTAAATATAAAAGTGAAACAACTAGTCATGAACTTGTTCCCTTTTGTTGTTTCCCTGTTTTCAAAGCCTGGAGTTTAAGGGGTTTGTAAAAATAAAGAGTCTCCAACACAGACAACCCATTTATTATTCCAGCCTGCTCAGTGAGCTGTAAATATTTCCAAAGGTTAGTTCAGCTCAGAGTAGATTTAAGCAGCATTGTTACCTAAACTCTTCGATTTAATATAGAAAGAGTAAAAATCGAAATTAAAACCATAAAACAAACTTTACATAGGCTGTCTTAACTTTAAATATCTGATCTACTCAAAGTATAAAATAAAAAATAAAACAAGACATAATTTAGTATAGCACAAACAGCAGGATATTCTTTAAAAATGTAAAAATGCAGAATTTCTTAAGATGATAATCAAACCTTAGGTTACAGTCATATATTAGGCTCTAAAATTAAAATTTAACCTCAAGGAAAACTCCGTTAAGTGATTTAAAAAAAGAAAAACTACATTAAGTTGTATGGAATTTATATCATATATAAATGTAACTTCAAATTTTAAGTTTAAGTGGTAAAACTGTACCTTTATATTCTGGTTAATTTTTGTTGCAGCGGTGTCTATTTAAAAAAGAGACGAGTGGAAATTGAGCCTTACCGTGCAATCAGACACTAACAGGCCCAGACACTCGGACATCGGTAATTATTGCAAATCTGCGCACGTCTGTTTGTTTTGGAGAATGTGGAGGCCTACATCTAAGTCTGTGGGTTAAGTGGGAGATGTTAGTTTATAACTTTTGACAATGAATAACCAGATCTCCATTCACTCTAATCACACGCCACTGTGTATCTTTCAGTTGATGATTTATAGAATAAAATTAATAATAACTTAACTACACGTGGGTTCGTTTTGATATTCTTCCGGTGCTGTTAGTGGATGATAGAGCCTCAAATATTAGTTCAACGACGATGAGTGGTTTGAACGGAGATAATTAGAAAGAAATGGCTTCGTGATGGGATATTATTTTTCCGTGAGAGGGGTTTACAGACAGAGGAAGAACCGGAAAAACAAAAAAATTGTCACAGTCAAATTGATTTAAATGTAATAATAATAATAATAATAATAATAATAATAATAATAATAATAATAATAATAATAATAATAGAAGTTGTATCGTTACTTTCTTTTTGTGGAGTCCGTGCGCCCGGCGTTTTTATCGTCGAGAGGTGGAGTAGCTATAGTTAATAATAAATAGAAGTAAGTTCAGCTGATATTTTGCAAAGGTAAAGAAATAATAATCCGTGTGGATAATTAGTAACCAGAAAGTGAAAACCTAATCGTGGCGGGTTATTTTAAAATTGTAAACAAAGCCTGAAAAGTGTTTTAGGGATATTATTGCCTATTATTATTGTATATTTTTTAACATGTTAAAAACCTGATTTGAAAAAGGCGTAACCTTCTAAATTAAGAGCACATTGGGCGAGCTCAGACGGATAAAAGTAAGCGAGCATATGCGCAAATTTCACTTTCTTGTCTTCTCGTCTGCCATAAAAAAAATAAAATTTCAAAAGAATAATATAAACTTTTTAGAAGATAGAAATTTGTCAGGAGAACTTACGCCAACATGCGCTCCACCTCCGCCCTCTGCTCCGCGGCCTCCTCCGTGTTGAGCGATTGGAGTTCCTTTAGAATCGGCGGGGTGTCGTAGTCGTCCCCGTCCTCGGAGCCCTCGTCGCCGGAAAGCTTGCCCTTGCTGTGGCCGTTGGTGAGCGTGAGGAAAACGGGCTTCGTATCTGCGTCCCCTCCGTTCATCTTGCCGCTCTGAGGCGACATGGGCAAGTTCTCCATTTTTACTCCAAAGTTCGGCGGGCTGGGGTCCAGGTCGTCTAAGGCCTGGATCAGAACATCTTTGGTAACTCCTGAGTCCAGCAGGGCGTTAAGGAGCTCCTGCTGCAAGGATGTCAGTTTCGACACCATTTTAAAGAACATTAAAAACACCACATAGGCCTACTGTGTGCGCGCTGGAGCCGAGGGTTGAAATTGAGGATCGTGGGGAAAAGATCAAAAGGAAAGTCAAAATAAAGTTCCTTTCTCCCTCTCTGGCTTTCGGCTGCTGACACCTGCTCCGAGAAGCTGCTTCACTTCCCTGTTGAAGGGGAGGGATGGAGCTACTTTGCCATGATGCTTTCTGAGAGCGGGGGAATATAAAACATGGTAATGAGTGGGCCGGCTGATGGGAGCTTTTATGTAAATCCACAGAATAAGGGCCGCTTTGCGCCGAGGCAGACGTGTTTACACTGCTGCACGGCTGCTTTTATTGGCCCCCCTTATCAGCAAAACTTTCGTGGACTTCGGACCCTGTTGTATATGCCATAAAGACTAAGAAGGGCTGCGCATATTCAGCTGCGCTGGATCAGTAGTTTTATTCCATAAAAGCACCGAGACAGTTAGGGACAGAGTTCAGCTAGTACAGTACAAGTACTTTTTTGGCTATTTAACTTTATTTGTGTGTTGGAATTTTTTTCTCCGTGTGTGGGGTTTATTTTTTGTTTGTTTGTTTTTGTGTTTTTTGTTGTAAATTAGATGTTGTTTATTGTTAAAGCCTCTAATAAGCCATCTGTTTTTACATTTTTTGGAAATTATTGCCACATATGAGGTCATATGGATAGCTGAAATGTGTCTCCAGCTTCAGAGTTGCTACAATAACTTATTTTACATTTATATGAAGTTTAAGATATAATGTAGCGACAGTATGCAAATATATTTGCCTCCTTTTAAAAATCATGCTCTTGTCTTTTCTGCGCACATCAACCCTTCCAAAACTATCCATGTACCTTAAATTGTCTCCGTTTTATTTTACTTATAAATCTTAAATTCACTCAGGAGTAAGACAAACCCTGAGTCAATACCGATAAGCGCAGAATGACGTTTTGGGGATCACAATTGACTTTACCTCTTCACCTTAAAGCAATAAAACAATAGCTAATAAAGTTATATTCACCTGTGCTCGTCCCATGGGGGTCACCATGCAGCTCTGACGCACTCACTCAGCCAGGTACAGCGCGAGGACGAGCTAGAGCAAAGCATGCAGAAGTCACACTCTATATTTTTTACGTGAAGATAACAAATGATTGTAATTTAAGATATAAAGATATAAAGTAGTGAAGGTACGCAAATATAATTTGTTACAAGACTCCCTTTAAAAAGAATGCACTTGTCTTATCTGCGCACATCACCACTTTACAAACTATCCCTAACCCCTAAATTGCCTCAGTTTTATTTTACTCATAAACCTTCAATTCACTCAGGAGTTAAACAAACCCTCAGTCATTATCGATAAGAGCAGAGTGGATTTTTGTGGGGGGATCGCCTTTTCACCTTTGCTTCCAAATATTCAACAAATAGCTAATAAAGGTGCGTTTACCTGCGTGAAGCTCAAACGCGCTCACAGAGGCAGGTGCAGCCAGATGATGATGATGATGAGGGAGAGCAAACTCTGAAATCAAATATAAACTTTAATAAAAGTGGCGTGAAGAATATGCACGTCAAAAATAACGAGATATGACAAGAAGGAGAATCAATTCTCAAATATAGGATACTTTATTAAGCGGGGAGATGAGTTCGCAACATTTCACTGTTGATGATTTCTAGGTCTCAAATTTTCACTTCTTCAAAGGTGAATTAATATTTATCCGTAGCTGTTAATTCAGAGCAAATGATCTGTGACTTTAAAAAATATCTTTAAGATTAAGACTTTTCGAGAGGCTATTAAACCCACATACTCACTTATATCATTTCTTGGATGAGAGATTCTTTGATCACAGGACGACGCTTAAATAAAGACAACAAATGAAAAGTTTAAAGCTGATATGGTGCCATGTAGTCCCACAGCATTACTGTAGAGGTCTAATATGCCCCAGGTGTGAACCCTAACCTGTAAACGATTTAAAAGAAATGCAGGTAAATCTTTGAAAAGAGGCACTCTGCAGTTTAGAAATATAATATTAATAAATTATTTATAAATGAAATAGAAGTTATTCCTATTTGAGACACCAGAATCACCGATCTGGTGCCAAACGTGTTGAGTAGATTTCTGTTATTAATTAATGATCTAATTGTTTCAGATGTAGCTGTACCCTTTAAGAGTTAGAGCCTAAGAATTACATTTTGTATTTTCCGTTTAACCTCCTAAGACTCTTCCACAGCATGCATTTTTAATTTCTCTTTGATATTTGGGCATATTGGGGCCCGATGAATGTAAAAACAAAGAATGACCAGATTTTTTCTTTTACCTTATTTTGTTTTTAAGAAAAATAAGAGCCACATATGAGGATATTGGTTTAAAATTTTGATAGAACAGTACCAGTATAATGTCCTTGTAAGTGGATATCAAGCCCATGTAGAGCAAAATTGAGTATTTTAATCTAAATAACTCAAAATGTGATGTCCACATATGTGGACGCCAGGTCCTAAAGGGTGGGAACTCCACTAGTCCTTCTTATATCTTTCATTAAAAACACATTCAAACTGCGTCTCTTTCTCTTTTGATGAAGATAAGAGATAAATAAAAAACAAGCTGCTGACTTCCACTGTGACTATGATGGTTTACAACAATCTACTTGGCCAATTATTGGTCAAACATAATCCTTTAGTGTAGTATCAATGTGGTTGATCATTAGTAATATGCAGGATTGCCCTTATTAGCATTATAGTCATTATAATTCAGTGAGACTTTAGCCATGCAGAAAACTACTGTGATGATCCTAATGTGGGTTGCAGGAGAACACTGTGTGACTATAACAAAAAAAATGTCCTAGTTGCATTACAGGAGGCAATAAAAATATCATAAAGTTCAAAAAGGTCATTAAAATTCAATGCTGGGTCTGAGAGACACAGAGAAGGCCTCTATAGGAATTTTAATTGTTTTACTGTAGTTAGGTTTCATTAATGGAACGTTTTGTTCTAATTAGGCCTCACAGTTGTTTCTGTCACATAAAAGATTGCCACAGGTTCCGGTGTCATTGCACAGATTCTCTTCTTATCTGCAGCTGCTATCATTGTATAAAGTTTCCCTTAGATGCACACCTTAGCTGCCCTTCGCTCTGTTGTGTAATAACCCAGAGGAAACAGATAAATTGCAGGCTGTCTGCACCTCCGTCATCTCTGCTGACAAGTTCATCGCTGAAAAAACGGATTGATTTTGTTAATAACAAAACAAATGCACCAAAACATTTTCACACAGTCGCAGGGGAACGGAGGGTTTGCTTGAATTACACATTGGTTTGAAACTGTAGATTTGTTGGGTTAAATGTAAATAAGAGAAAAGAATTACCCATAATGCATGTATCCTCTGCAAAAGATACCGTATGTGTTACTAAATGATGGAGGATAGAGACATTACAATTTTTTTCCACTAATTTCTTTCCCAGAAATAACAGATCGTACCACAATGTCTCACAGTAACATTAACAGGCGCTCATACCGATCCAAACTTTGACATGCATTTCATTTTGGACTTTCACTTGTGTCCATTTTAAATCTGTCAGCCATTAACAACAAATAATAACAAGAAGCAGAAACAGTTTATCCAGTACACAGACCATCGAGGCTGTTGTGAAAGCAGCATGTGCACTGAAGCGTGGTGAGGAACGCACACTGCCCGTCACGGTTTCACACACAGGTTGAGCAACAACGGGTCTGGATCATCCTGGACCCTTGACAGTCCACCTGTCAGGGGCCCAGGAGGAAAGACTCGCATAGGAATGAATTTAGAAAAGACTTTAAAACGTTTCTCGTATTGTAACAAATTGGTGACAGCAATTATACACACACACACACACACATTATGCACACAGCAGTTGGGCATTGTGTTGCAGAGGGTGACATCCTTACTGACTAAAAATATCTACACCTTTATTGCTTCCATATTAATTAAGAGGGTCAGTAGCAGCCAGGTGCTGATAATCACGTGCACCTGATTAACTGATCTTGAGCGCCTCTATAAAAGAAAAGGTTTGGGCAGTTTGCTAGTCTGGAGCATTCAGGTTTGTGTTAATACAATGGCACAATGTTCCCAGGAGTGTACCTTCCAGTAAATTCACCCCAAGGTCAGACTGTGCAATGCTCAGAGAAAGAAAACAAAACAAGACCTACATCTCAGACTCTACAGGTTATCATGTTAAATGCTTTTTGTTTTGTTTTTTAACTGAACAAGTATGGCTTGTTTGAAAGGGTTGCCGAGAGAAAGCCGCTTCTCTTTAAAAACAACATGGCGCCGTGGCTTAGACGTGCTGTTTTGCAGGACCTGGGCACGTTGCAGCCATTGAATCGACCATCAACTCCTCTGTATACCAAAATATTACAAACCTAAAGCCCAAATGACCCCAGATATAAAACACATTTCTGTTCTACAAGATCATACAACATATTCTACAGAGTCAGTTTTGATTATGCCATTATGTAGATTATGGCATAATTTTGTTAACCTTTGTTTCCCTTTATTATTTTCAAACTTTGTACATTTTCCAGTTTCTATTCCAATAAAACAGATGACACGTCTGAAGCAGAAAATTACATTTTCCAGCTTGTATTTTATATTTCTAAGGATTTTAAGAATCTAAAGTCAGTGATGCACTGATCCAGCTTTATCAATTTCAGATTTCTGATTTGATACCCAGACATTGACTTTAATTACCAGAATTACCTGTGTTAAAGTAATGTGAAGGAGAGACTGGGACTAATTGTGTCAAGCGGTTAAAAGACGGCAGAAGGATTTTCTCCAAGAATAACATCACAGTGTCATCCAGACTCAGTATTACTCTTGGACAAACACTGTGTTATCCCAAGGAAAAAAATACCCAGACATTAGCTAAGCAATATAGTGTTTTCTGGGCATTTTAGTAAGTATGCACCATTTTTTACACAAGAGAAACACTCCACAAATTCCTAACACAACATAGGAGAGCCACTCAGTTGTACACTTGCATTTC